AACCCTCACTATAGTGATGAAGGAAGGTTTCACGGAGGAGACAGAACTTGAAATGGGCAATGTAGAGTTGGTGAGATTTGGGGCGAATCAGAAAAGGAGGGCGAATCATTCCAAGTACAGACAATAACTTCAGCTAAGGTCTTGGGACTGGAGTGAAAATGGTACAGGCTGGAAGAGCAAGAAGCCAAGCAGCCCTTCCTGCACTGAGGAGTTTGGGCTGGCAGGAAGGGTTGACTAGGTGAGAGAGAGCCTTGAATTTCAACTTTTGAGAAGTTGAGACTAAATCCACTGGGCAATTGGGAGCCATTGTAGACTCCTTACTGGGGAGAGTCATGAAGACAGTGGTTTTGTAGGACTGGTCTGGTGGTAAAGTAAAGACTGGAGAGGGAAGAAACCAGAGGCAAGAAGAAAGTTAGTAAGTTATGGCACTAGTCCAGGCAAGAAATGATTCATGTCTAGCTAAGGTGATGGCATCAGAAATGGAGAAGATATATACCCTAGAAATATCCAGAGAGAAGAATAAATTGAGCTTAATAACTCATTGGATATAAGAAAGAGAAAGGAGCCATCTGGTCCAGATCCATCTGACACCATGAATCATGTTGGCATTGTGGACAGAAATGAGGAAACACTGAAGTGGGTTAGTTTAGAAGTGAGGATGTTGAATTTGTTTTGAGACTGAATATGAGATGAAAAGAGAAGAAAAGAGGGAAGGAACTGAAAAATGAAAGAGTATTCAAGGAAAGGGGAGCATCTGAACTCTGTCTTCTCCATTAGAGAGGTCTTTACAAGTCTAAAGAAAAAGGCAGACCCCAAAATCTCTGCAATGAGCAATGGAATCATACTGTATGTTTTCTCCTGGTTCCCCTATTAGCTGTGTGACCTTTGACAGGTCAGTCAACCTCTCAGTGTCGCAGTCCCCTCATCCTTAAGAAGACAATGATAGCAGTAACCACCTTAGGTATTATCACAAGGACGCAATTCAATCATCCATGCAAAGTCCTTAGCATGGTGCCTAGAACTCAATGTGTGCTACCTTAGAGTTACTGGATTCGAGCATTTCTCAAATGCTTCCTTTCTGTGCTTCAGGGAATTTTGAAACCTTGTGATAAAAAGAATGGCGATAGAACCAACAGAACTTGCCAGAGAAAGGGCAGGGCAGATTCTAGGATAACTGTAAAATTCAGAGTCCTGGTGATTGGGGCAACACACAGACCTCTAGAAAGAATGCTCTTTCCCAAATTGTCTTTTTTTCTGGTTAATGGATCCAAAAGAAAAAATATATTTTGGATATTGGATTTGGGGAAATTAATTATACTAAGCATAATTTGCAAATATTTTTATTCATGTTCAATGTGAACTCATGTATTCACTCTTTTCAGTAACCAAATCTTTTAGAACCCCACAGGAATGGCATGTTTGTCAGACCAACGGTCCCATCTAGCCAGTGTTCCAATGCTAACAGCATCAACAATTGTTTCGTGGGTGAGCATCTCTCTGGACCTCTAACGACCGCCTCCAAATGTTTTCTGGAGAGCCCACTTGTGGCTATTCCCTGTGCTGAGGAGGAGGGGGCTGAGCAGGGAGTAGGTTGACAAAACATCTTCACAAATGTTTTTGCTGTGTGCAAAGAATGCCACAGGGCAGAGTTTGGGGGTAATAGTTTAAGTCTTTGTCTATTCCCCTAACATCTGACAAGTTACTTAACTATGGTTTCTGTACACTTTTCTAACTATAGGGTGGGGATAAGAATGCTTAGATAAAAATCAGAAATTATCTGAAGATGCTTGTTGAAGGGAACAATGTGAGCACAAAATATTGTTATTGACAGTTAGTGAAGGATTATTCCCACAGCACTCCTGCTTCAGAAAACTCCATTAGAGGCCGGGAGGGGGACAAGTGATTCTCAGCTCACTTCAAAACACTCGTCTCTTCCTCCCCTCACTTCTTCAGTACTTATTTGTCTGTGTCACACAACTAACACTTTGTGCACAGTTTTAGTCTCTAATTTGTCACCTTTAGTCACCTTGTCTCTTTAAATATATTTCACTGTTCTCTGCTATGCCTCTTGTGAGGTATTCACTGAATACTCTTCACTGATGAATTCATCCACAACTCAATAAGTGCGGATATAAACGAAGGTCTCTGCCAGTTTCTGAATCGGGTTTCTTGCCATGCTAAGAGTTTTGAAGTATTTTTTAAATTCCTCTTCAGAACTCATGCTACCCACCCAACAGGAGATGGTGTCAGGTATTGGTAAGACTGGCTTAGAAGCCCACTCTACCTGTCAGAGATTCATTCATTCATTTGACATATAGTTACTGAGCACACACTGTGTCCTGGGCACTATTGTGGGTATGCAAGAAACAGTATGAACAAAACATACCAGTCCCTGTCCTCTTAGACTTTATGTTCTGTGGGGGAGGGGCAGACAAAAACCAAAGTAAATTATCTGCAGCATTAAAAGGTGATAAGTTCCATGGGTAACAATAAAGCAAGGGTGAGGATTAGGGCGGGGGAAGGAGAAGATGCAATTATAAGTCATGTGGGTTGGGAAGGTCTCACTGAGAAGGTGACATTTGAGCAAGAACTTGAAGGAGTAGGAAGTGAGCCATGTGGATATCTGAGGAAGGGCTGTTCAGGCAGAGGGAACAGCAGTTGCAAAGGCCCTGAGGTAGGAGAGTGTCTGGAGAGCTCAAGGAACAGCAAGGAGACTGAAGCAAAGTAAGTGGGAGGGAGTAGAGGGAAAGGAGGTCAGAAAGATAATTGGGGGGAGGAGGAACAAGGGGACCAGTTGATGTAGGCCCTTGCAGGCTGTTGTAAGGACATTGGCCTTTATGGGGAGTCATTGGAGGACTTTAGGCAGAGGAGTGACATGATCTGACCTGCCTCTTCAAAGAATCGCTATGGTGAGACTCCATGTGGGCAGGGCAGGCAGTGGGAACAGGGAGGCCATTTATATAGCTATTCCAATAATCCAAGTGAAAGAAGGTAGTGGCTTGGGCCAGGGTGGTAGCAGTAGAGATGGTAAGAAGAGGACAGTGTCTAGATATGTCTGATGGTCGAGCTGATGGAATTTGCTGACAGCTCGAATATGAGGTGTGAGGGGGGGAAAAAAAGAAGTTAAATGATTTCAAGGTTAGTGGCAAGCAATGGAAAGATAGAATTGCCATTAACTGAGATGGCAGAACTGCAGATGGAACAGGTTTCTGTGTTGGGTATGTTAACACTGAGATTTCCATTAGATGTCCAAGTGAAGATGTCGAAGAGACAGCTGCATACCAGAGTCTGGGAGGGGGTCCTAGTGGGAGGTGTGCTCAGGAAAGAGTAGAGATGCTGAACATGAGAATATTCATCATCTGGACATGGGGAGGCTCTAGCCAAGAGTCAATCTCCTCCTTAGTAAGCCCAGACTTTTTTTTTTTAAAGCTCTTTTATAAGCAATCAAATTAAATCAATTAACTGTATTGCAAGCTTTTTGCACTCAGAGATTTTGTCTTACCTTTATAAGCACAGGGCCCAGCTTATCAAGTGTTTCCTGTTGAATAAATACTAGTGGGAGGGAAAAGACAAATCCTCAAACACTTATGACACGATGACACAAAGCAAAGGATAATAGGACCCTAAGAGAAGTAAGAAGAAAACCCAGTGGGCGATCAGGAAAGGTTTCAAGAAGGAGGTGGCGTTTGAGCTGAGACTTGAGTTATGGACAAGACTTTAGAAGGGAAGAAGGCCCTTGAACAGCAGGTTGTTCATTTTGGTTTGAACATGATCTAGATAGACATAAAAATGCCTGAAAAGTCTTTGCCTTCATTCTTGAAAATTATTTTGAGTATAGAATTAAATATATTTTTTCTCTTCAGTAATTTAAAGATGTTACCCCACTATTTTCTCACTTGCATTGTTTCCAACGAGAACCCTTCTGTTATCTTTGCCTTTCTTTGTACAGATTATGTCTTTTATTCCTCTCTCTGCTCCTAAGATTTTCCCTTTATTGCATATTCTAAGCAGTTTTATTATGATATGCTTTAGTTTCATTTTCTTCAAGTTTCTTGTGCTTGCATTTCATTGAGCTTGTTGGAAATATGGGTTTCTAGTCCTCAGTAAAATTTGGAAAATTGTCTGCCATTATTTCTTCAAATATTTTTCTGCCCTCCATGCCAGCCAGGGCCTCTAATTAGACATGATTGGGCTACTTGAAGTTGTTCCACAGCTTCACACATCACTGATGATCTGTTCACTTTTTGAGTCTTTTTTTCCCCATGTGTTTCATTTTGGTTATTTCTCTAGCTACGTCGTCAAGTTCACTAGTCTTTCTTCTGCTATGTCTAGTCTGTTCTTAACCCCATTCAGTGTATTTTTCATCTCTGATGTTGTCATTTTCCTTTCTAAAAGTTTGATTGGGTGTTTTTTATTTTTTGTTTCTATTTAACATGTTCAATCTTGCCTCTAGCTTCTTGAACAATTGGAATACGGTTAAGAGAACTGTTTTATTGTCTTTGTCTACTAATTCCTTCATTTATGTCACTTCTAGGTGAGATTCAATTTATTGATCTTTCTTCCTCATTCTGGGTTGTGTTTTCCTGCTTCTTTGCAGGCCTGGTAATTTTTTACTGGATGCTAGACATTGTAAATTTTACCTTGTTGGATGTGATAGCTCAATTAGGCACTCTTTAATTATCAAGGGAAAGAAACACACAGCCTTGGATAAGTTTCCCATAGCCGACCATCCCAGGAACTACACATTCCAACCTCAGCCCAAAAAGATCCTACTGTTGGTTTAGCACTCAAATAAGAAATTAAAGGAAAAAACAAAAAGAACAGAAAAATCCGGCTTGAAACAAGGATGTTCAGGAAAGGAAAGTGGCCATTTCTCTTTTCTGTTGGGAGATGAAGAATACACTCATTCATAGCTTGCGTCCCACATATAAAGTAGAGGAAGATGGGCACGGATGTTAGCTCAGGGCCAGTCTTCCTCAGCAAAAAGAGGAGGATTGGCAGCAGATGTTAGCTCAGGGCTAATCTTCCTCAAAAAAAAAAAAAAAAAGACCTGGGACATCTGTTTAAAATGCTGATGTCTGGGCTCCACACTGCATCTCCTGAATCAGACTTGATGGAGTTAAGCTTGGGAATCTGTATGTAAATTGCTCTCTAGGCAATTGTAGTACACTCTAAATTGGAGAATCACCAGTGTAGAATTACGCCAGGTTGGGTGGGAGATGGGATTAGAAACTTGGTAGTTTGACGTTTAAAAGAGGAGGGCCTGTCCCAGGACAGGTTGGATCCCCAGCACCAGGGAGGGGCTGCAGGTGTTTGATTATGGTGAGGGTGAATATTTTTTCATTTGTTTATTGGTGATTTGAATGTTTTTCATTGTGTGAGATTTGTTCATTCATGGTTTAGCTCATTTTTCAATCATTTTTTATCTTTTTCTTATTAATTTATGAATACCCTTTACATAGGAAAGTTATTAGCTTTTTGTGTATTATACATGTTGCAATATTTTTCCCTCCATAATGATTATAATGTTTATTGAGAACTTAGAACTTGCCAGGCGCTATTCAAAGAGCTTTAGGTATGTATGTCAAAAACATCCTAATCCTGATAACAGTCCTATGAGATCATTACTATTATTATCGTCATTATTATTCCCAGACAGGTCACTGAGGCTTAGAGAGATTAATTATCCTGTTCGAGGTCACAGAGCCAGCAAGTGAAGGAATTGGAGTTCAGATCAGATGGAGCTGTGTCTGACTCCAAAGCCCATGTTCTGTATATCACACCTTCTGGCCTTGGGTTCTATCTGCCTTTTCATTTTGTTTATAGTTTTTTGTGGGGAGGGGCATTGAAAAATTTTCATTTTCGCGTTGTCAAATCTATAACCCATTTATGGGTTCTTCATTTGCTTTTATCTTTAGAATGTTCTTCCCTGCCTCAGGATCTCAAGATCAAATAGTCGCTTCTATTTTCTCATAGTTATATATAATTTCGTTTGAAAATTATTCCATTATATTCGCATGTGTTTAAAATAAAGATAAAATAGCCCTTCCTCTTTAAGAAACAATTGACCAGAATAAGTTGTAAAGTTGCTGGACTTGAAAATAGGCAATACACTACAAAACAACTTTTTAAAAATAAAGTACAGACAAGGATTTGAGATGAGTAACGATTTTTAGCTGCTCCCTTTTTTTATATGCCTGGGCGAGCCATCTCAGGAAGCCATGCAGCATCCAGTAGCTAGAACATCACATCAGCTCTGCGTTTGACTTCCAACCTGGAGGAAGCAAGATCTGAGCCCAGGAGGTGCCGGGAGAACATGTCCTGAGCCTCCTCTGAGAATGGCCCAGCATTTCTGGTTCTGGAGCTGGGTCAGCCAGTTGGTGCCACAGGTGTCCTTGCTGCCAGCAGCTCTTCACCAACTTGTCAACAGGAGGAAAAGCAAAAGGACTGGCCATTCCTGACAGGCAGTAGCTTGAACTGCGGTCAGGACAAGACTGAGCACCTGGGGCTTGCTGACGCCTGAGGGGCTCCCGGTGGAAGAAGGGAAAGGCTTAGGAAGGGGGTTCTAATGACCAATGACCGTTTATATTTAGTGGGTTAGGGCACTTAGTGATTTGTATCTGGCTACTTTTATAAATCCTATTCTGTACTACATTTTGAATTTAGTTGATAAACCAAGCTAGTAATTGGACTTTAGTTAAATACTTTTGTTAAAATAGTATGAATTGATGATTTTTCAAATGTAGAATCAGCTGACCTATGTTCCAGTTGTGAACAAATATGTTTCGATAACACCAGTATGAATATACACAGTTGTTTTCATAAGGACGCCGTCATTTGCTCCTCACAGCCATTCCCTGGGGTAAATACTGTCATGGGTCCTATTTAGTCAAGGGGCTGGGGAGTTGGTGCAGGGTCCTGTCTCCTCTCAGCTTGGCAGATCCCCTCTAACCTCTAACATTTCTCTTTATCTCTTGTTCTGAAGAAAGACCGGGCAGGTCCCATATAGGCAACCTAGAGGCCCCAGCCCTCCCTCCCCAGGGGGCTATTACAAGGCACCAAGCCACTGCAGGGCACAAGCATCACATGGTAGCTACCAAAGAAAAATGCATGGTTAGAGAAAATATCTAACTGATAAGTAACCAGTTTCCCAACTTACTCAAGATGGACCGTTATCGTTAACACCATCATTATCTTTAATTTTAGTGACTTAATTATATAATTTTCTATAATTATAATTATGACTGACTATAAGTTTAGTGCAGTTAACAAGAAACAGCCATCCATCCCTAAATTCCACCCCATCCCACCGCCGTTTGACCTGGGTCAGAGCCTGAAGAAGGTCTCAGAGCACGCTTGGAGGAGGAAATGCTCCTTCAAAGACTTCTGGGGTGCATTTTCAGATGTCCCCAGGGTGAACAAATGTTACACTGGGATGTTTCCCAAGGCCCTGATCCCAGCCGAAAGTAGTTTTGCCAGAGACATTGGGTGAGGGCCTTTGTTGGTCTCACCCGCTTCCAGCTGGGATTGTTGAGGAGTCCTGGGGCCACACAGAGCCGCTTCAGCTTCTGCGACTTCCCAGCTTTTGTATGCAAGACGGCTGGCCAAGGCTGTGGGTGAACTCCAAACCAACCCTCGTTAATTACTTGTTCAGCATTGTATTAGAGAATCTGGGCAATGACTGAGGCAGGGTGAGAAGGAGGGCCACAGGGGGCTGCACCATCTCCAGGAATTCACTTCAGCCCGCCAGAGCTTATACGCAAAAGAAATGCCTTTGAGATAAGTAGTCCAACCCGTGTTCCTTGCGAAGCAGGCTGGCCTCCACCCCATCCTGATCCAGTCAGCAAAGCAGGAGGAGCTGGTGAATACCACGTGTTTTCCCCATGGCCTTGTGTCTTCATGAATGTCTGAGATTCCTTTACAGGGCAGCATCTCGGTCTCTGCCTGGCTGACCCAGCCCTAACCAGCCCTAACCAGCCCTGGGTGCAGAGTTCATGCGGGTGCCTCTACTCCAGAGAGCGTGGAAGGTTTGTGTTATTCCCCTATGGACCAGGGCACATCAGATGTTTCCGGTTTTGCAGTGATGTTCATGTGGGCTGTCTTGGGGATCCTAATAGGATAACCCCAGCATCTCCAAGCTCCTGTTTTCTAAGATTAGTGGAGTGTCTACCAAAATAAAGTTATCCTAAGCAAGCAGGCACAAAGAGAAACAGGTGATCACATGCTAGATGGCCAACTCCCATAAACAATGTTCCCCTCCGTCAGAAAGGAATCATTTCATTGGTTGAGAAGCACATTCCCCTTCCAGTTGAGTGAGTAATCAATAATGAAGTTTTTATTGAGTACCTACTATGTGCTGGATGCCTTTCTAATGCTGGGAAAGGGAGTGGATGAGTGAATGCGGCAACAGTAAAAGGATGAAATAGTACCTGTGATAAGAGCCTCTCTGGTTAGAAGGCAGAGTAACACATGCAAAAGTGTGCCAACAACCAGCCACACAGTGATGCTGCTGGGCTCAGGAGGCGCAGTCCGTGGGAATCGGGGTCTTTGGGGAAGGCTAGGCAGGATTCAGCTGGGCTCCGAGGATCCCAGGCGGGACAAACCAACAGGAGCACTCAGCTCCCAGGCCACTGATGTGGGATGGCCAGGGCTTGCTCGCTTAAGCTGACAAGTACCTGGACCTTTGGCCGATCTTCCTGTGGGGCTGCAGGGAGGAAGTCATGCCCCAGAATTTCACACCCCTGTGCAAGGCAAGCCCTACCTTCCAGCTGGGGTTTGCAGATTGTCGTTACCAGGTCTTGGCCCCAGTGTGAATTCCTGCCTTTTCCAGGGATGAGTCCAGGGGGGCTGACCAGCCCCCCATCCCCCCACCCCGTCCCCGTCCCCGAGGGATTCCTCCAACACCAGTAGTTTAACTTTCAAGTGCAAGCAGCTGGCCCCGTCTCTGCAGTCGAAGGAGTCTCAGTCAATGGCAGGCTGATCATCAGCTCCCCGGACCTGTTTCTAAAGGATCATTTGCATGAATGTAATAACAGCAATTTGCATAATTAGGGAGCGTGTGAAGAGTATTCAATTGTCTCAGAAAAAAGGAATTTCAGCTGTAAAATATGTCAGATCTGAAAGGTGACAGAATTTTCACAGCGTTCCAGCTTGCAAACTGGCGTCTGTACTTGGGGAACGTCGGAGAAACCAGGACAGGACATAGTTTTAGCCTCCTGCAAACCAGTGCAGCTGGTGGTGATGGGCAGGTTTGCTCTTTACTTTCTCATGAATCAGTCCTGAGAGGAAAAGGTGAGAGGAAGGGAGTTCAGGAGGACAGCCAGCCAACTGCCGTGAGTTTTGTGTTCCGATGAGCAGTGGCAGCTCACCGCTTTCGGCTCTATTCACTCTGACGAGAAAGGAACACTTTTGATTAAACCTTTCACTTTTGCACAGAAAAGATTTCGTGAAATTGATGCATTTTTAATGAGTAAAAATCTGATATCCTGTTCATATTCGAAGTAAACTAAAGCAAAAATTTGCATTTCAAGTTGAATTCAGACAATTCCTTTGGCAAAGGCTAAGCAGCATGAAAAAGTAAAGGGGGTGGGGAACAGTCCTCAGCTCTGGAAGCCAGCTTGCTGGGTGAGCCTGGGCCAGCCACTCCACTGGCTTCCTCTGGAACTTAGCTTTCTCATCCCTTCTCCTGTGACTCCAAGCCTCTGGGTGTCCCTTTCCACCTCCTAACTACGCCCCCCACCCTGCACCCCCATTCCTCTGGTGGGAGCAATTTGAAATCACCTGTCTAGTCCAACTCTCTCATTTTACAGATAAGTAGCTGAGGCCAACCCCACCCCAGTTCACCCAGAGCAGTTCCATTTTCATTTGTTTTATCTATTAGAGTTTGGCAATTTATGTGGGAAAAAGACAGATTTTATGGCTAATGAACAATTTGAAAATCACTGGACTTGTTCAACTGTTCTAGTTCATTCTATGTAGATTTGTCTAGAAGCAACAGAAATCTATCCAAGTTATGCCAAGTGATAGGGGTAAATGAAGGCACAATATTTGGGTTCCCAAATTAGACCCGTCTTTTAGGTTCACATAATGTTTGCACACTCTTTTCTCTCTCTCTCTCTCTGAATTACTAAAAATACACAAAGTGAAAATCACCCTTTATCCTAATATATCTTTTAAAACTATGTAAACTAAGTGAAAATCCCCTTTTCATTCCTTAGTCTCCATCTCCAGGAGAAAAAAAAAAATCTCAGTTAATGATTGGGTTCACGACCCTCCCAACTTTTCTTTGTGCTTATGCAGACATATCTAGATTCTTTTTTCAACCAATGAGCTGCATTGTGTTACATGGCTTGGGCTCACTGTGTTCACTCACCAGAATGCCAAGACCGTCTTTCCAGATTAGATCTAGATTAGATAGAGATCCACCTCATTCTTTTTCGTCTGTTTAATAAGCACCTTCTTGATGGACGTTTGGGTTGCTTGCATGTTTTTGCCATCACAAACAGTGTTGCCGTGAGCATTCTTGTGCAGATGTCCTAGTATACTCTTCCTGCAAGTGAGATTCCTAATTCACAACATTTTCTTTCTAATGGATACTGCCAAATTAGGTCCCCTCTCTTTTAGTTGAATTTAAAACCAGCTCTTGGCCTCTGATGCCAGGTAGGTTAGCAAGAAATCTGTTCTTTTTCTCCTCAGGCCCCTTCCTTGCCCTTGAATTGCCCAAGATCCAGAAGTTCTACTAATTCAGTGAGACCCGGTCTCTGTACAGAGAGAAAACTGGAAGGTCTGGTGAGGCTGCTCTTTGGACCCATTTTGGCTGTCTTTTCTCCCACTGCTACCATATATTGTCAATCTGAAAGCAAGTCTCCATGCAGTGTCCTATGTCCCCGTCCATTGCTGCATTGATCTGCTCCCTGGGGAGATGACTCTGATGTACTGGCATTTCCTCTGGGGAGATGACTCCACCTCCTCAGTGACATGCTGACCAAGGGTACGTTAAGCCTGAGCTCTTGTGGGTGCCGTTCTTTCTGTTGCGCTCAGGTCATTGTTCCTATGAAATATGTCCTCCAAGCTAGAGTGGCTGCGTTGGGAGGGACTTCCCATCACTGCTGAGGACTTCTTCCTGCACCTCACCCACTCTCTTCCCAACACCATTGGATTCTCACATCATAAACCCAGGTTAGCAATTTGTTGTCTCCTCTCAAGGCAAGCTCTCCCGTGGAGAGCATTGATGTGCTTCCCGACTTCAACGCTATCTCCCCAGGGGAGAAGTTCTAGGCCTGGAACCAGGCGCTGTTCTATGCACAGGGGATACAGACAAAAGAGAGAACAAGTTCTCCTGCTCTCAAAATGCTTCCATTCTTTGTGGAGCGGGGGCAGGTAATAAATAAATGCATACATAAATAAGATAACATTGGCTAATGATAAGTGTCACCAAGACAAAGAGTTGGATGAGCTGATGGGGAGTGGCTGCTGGGGCTACTTTTAGTTGGGGAGTCAGAGAACGCCTCCCTGATGAGGTGACATTTGAGCTGAGGCCTCAGTGAAGATGTAGGCACAGCATCCACACACGGCAGAGGCCTGTGATGATGGCCAGTGTGACTGGAGCAGAGTGAAGGGAGGGAGGGATGGGAGACCACCTGGAGAGGGAGCATGGCCACCTCATGGATGGATCGTACCTGACGCCCCCAGGACAACGAGCTCTGAAGCCTCTTCCAGCTTCAACATTCTCGAATCTTACATCCAGATTTCTTGTTCCTTTGCTTATTGCTTCCTAACAGCTCTTAAGAGACCAGCCCTTCGCAATTATGTTCCTGACTGTGTTTCTCCTTTGTTACTGCTTGCAGCATTTTACGTCTTGCAGAAATTTTAAATTATGAGACAGTCGAATTTATCACATTCTTCCTACATAGTATAGGAGATGTTTCTTAGAAAAATCTTTCCTGCTTTAATGCCATTATAAATATTTTTCCCAGGTTTTCCTCCAGTTCTTTCACTAGTATGTTTTTAACTTTTAACTTTTTGATCAATGTCACTTAATTAACTTATTTAGTGTAAGGAGTGAAGTCGGGATCCAGCCTTTGTTTTTTCCCCCAAATGTCTATCCAGCAGTCTCAACTCCATTTCTTAACTAAGTTTTTCTCCCACAGTTTTGAAATGCCATATCACTTGGGTCTAAAAACTGCTTCTTGGATGGTAGATCGGTACAATAACTAAGGCATTCCTGGCACATTCAAGGAACCATCAAAACAATAGCATAAATAGAGCATGCTTATCATGTGCCAGGCCCAATTCTAAGTGTGTTGCATGTATTCGCCCATTTAATCCACATACCCATGCTATAAGGTAGGTGCTATTAGTTCTATCTACAGACGAGAACACTGAAGCACAGAGAAGTTAAGTAACTTCCCCAAGGTCACACTGCTTGTGAATGGCAAAGCCATGATATGAACACAGGCAGTTTGACTTCAGAATCCAGACCTCCATCTGCACTCTTGGCTGCCTCCACAAAATGGAAAACACTTTTGTGTGTGCTTCCCACATGCCAGGCGCTGTTCTAAGAACTTCACTTATAATAATTTCACTTACTCTTCACAACAATCCTAAGAAGTAAATGCTATTGATATCTCCATTTTACAGATGAGCAAACTGAGGCAGAGAAGGGAGAGGAGAGTGGTGTGAAGTGAGGCCGGAGAAGGAGGAGTTTTGCTCTATGTTTAGAGCAGCAAGGAATCACAAGAGTGTTTGAATCAGGGCTGGACCCATCAGACTGGGGTTTTGTGATGCTCATTAGAAGCAGGGTGAAGAATGGACGGGAGAAGGGTGCAAAGTGGCTGTGTGGGAACCAAGTGTCAGGCTGATACCACGGGCGCAGTGACCACCCACCGCAGGTGGCCATCTAGTAGTGAGAAGGTAGGGTCCGCGTGGCATGAGAGTCACTACCATCCAGGGGCAGTTTCCATGTGCCAGACGTGGAGCTGGCTTAACCCTCAGGCAGGAGCTTCTTATCTCCATTTTCAGAGGAAACCAAAGCGTCAAGAAGTTAAGTACTTTGCCCGTGCTCACCCAGCTAGTAAGCACTTGCTCCTGACCACTAAGCACACCGACCCGTTTTATTCAGGCCCACGGACTGCGCCCTCCAGACTCTGGGGGGCCGGCTCATTACAACCTTGAAGCTTGGGTTTGGCGATGCCTTCCCCATCCTCTGCCTCCTCAGAGTTTGATAGAAATCAAGGAGCTTCTGTTGATGACGTTGGGAGATGAGCTGCTGATGTCAAAAATCTTTAGATCTTTTAAGGGTTTCTTTTCAGTTTTAGGTTAACTTTTCCTCAGACCTCTGCATAGTCTCCTGAAGTTACATTTTGCACTTGCTTTCTACTTGTCTGAATAAAGGGCAAGTTCAGGGCCCTCTGCCTATGGTGCGGCTGTTAACCACCCTCTCTTCCCACAGATCCGAGTGATGGTGGACCTGTGCAACAGCACCAAGGGCATCTGCCTGACAGGTAGGCTGGCCCGCACTGACCGCGGGCCACTCACGCCGCAAACATGTGTGCTGGCCAAAGCGCTGGGGCAGAGTGAACACCTAGGAACACTTGAGGTTATAAAAAGTCCTGTTGGTTTATTTACCAGATGTTTTTAATGAGCTAAATATCAATTGTAATATAATTATGAAAAATAGTATTTTCAGTATTGCCATAGAAATAGAGCCATGGAAAATAACTAGGTCTTGGGTAATTAGAAGCGTGTGGTTCCTTGAACAGAGGCCATGGATGTTTTCCCTTATTCCCGTTAGTTTTTAAAAAGGAAAAGAAAGAAAGGAAAAAGACTGCGCTAAGTGGTAGAGTTCTCTTACTGGAGAATAGTGTTCTCTTACCAGAAGTAGTTCTTTCCCTACATCCTACATCCAGCATGAATGGGAAACTCTAGAAGCAAACTGCTAATTAGTTAAGAAAACCCTTTTTATGAAAAGTGCTCTGTGTGGTGCCTACTGTGTGCTGGGGAAACGTAGAGGTTGGTGCCACTCTGCCCCCTCCGCTCAGTGAATCGAGGACAAATAGACAGGAGGGAGGGGATCAAGCAGGAGGCATGTGCAGCCTTGGGACAAGGCAGGCTGATGGATGGGGCAGGGGAGGGGGGCAGTGGATTTGATATGAGTCTGACAGAGTCCTGCCTTTGCCCTGAGGGGAGGGACACCTGCCTTCAGAAGCTGGGGGCCAGGGAAAACACAGACCCCAGCTCAGTCTCCCAATTCATTGCCTCTCAGGCTCCAGTCAGGGCCAAGGATGGGCTTATACAGCCTGATTTCAGACACTGCATTTCCGGTCTTTCCAAACGGGGCATAGCGTTCTGAGGAAACAGGGACATTATTTTTGCATTAAAAGTTTATTATGGGGTAAATGCACAACTCTCATGGACTTTAAAAGACACCCACATGCTTGGAAGCCATCTGAAGCTTTTGTCTGGCCTCCTTAGTCTAGGGCCCCTGGCTCTGAGGAGGTCCCTGGTGGAGGCTGAGAAACCCTGTGCAGTGTGTATTGAGTCTAAGGAACCTCACTCTCTCTGCTATATTCTCTCCAGTGCCTCTCATTACCTGCTGTGCATTAGGAGTGCAATGTGAGTTTGTTGAATGACTAAACCTGTGGTTTGTGTAAGTGATTAAGCCAGGATGCTGGGCTGGTAAGGAAGACGCTTCCCTGAGGAACCCTGAGTCCGAGTCTGACTCTTACTCACTTTGGCCTCTGAGAGGAAAGCTGTAATTCTGTGGCTTCTTGGGAGACGCTAATTGAATTACTAAGTCCCATTTCAGCCTTCACGGAAAATTAAGCGTCTTCAGAACAGCTTGGTCCTTTATTCTGAAACTCTTGTGGCTTAGGCACCTTTCTTCCATCTCTGGAACTCCCTTTTCAGAGTTGCCATGTGTGACAGTAATCAGTGCTAGAGAAACGCTCGGATGGATGGAATTACAGGCACAAAGCCCTGTTGAGAGGCACAGGAAAAGCCTCTTCCTTTTTGATTTTTATAGTAATAAAAGGAGAGCCCGGCTGTTGAGTGAATGCAGGATGGAGCTATTGAGACCACTTAGGGGAGATTGATGGGGGCAGGGCATCGCAGCTGAGCTGGAAATGGGTTGAAGAGGTTATTCTTTAGCGCCTCGAAATGCTTTTCAAAAGCCACCACCTTCTCTTTTCGTGCTAGCTTGAAAGCTCTCCAATTAAAACTTAGGTATGAAAAGTACAAGTTGCAAAGCGAGGTGGTACCTGGGATAGACCAGGGTGCCTGGATTGGGGGAGGGGAGGTGACAGGACCCAGGACTGAATTGGCAACTTCAGAGGGAGGGGCAGACAGCCTTGGTCCAGAGCCCCAGGAAGAATCCTGCAGGAGGGACTGCCAGGGCAGACCCTGGGCCTGGGGCCTGAGGACAAGATCTGGCTTTACACTGGATTCACCTTTGAAAAGGCTGGCGTTTGTGACTTGAGGCTAGTCCAGCTGTGACCATGAGACCCCATTCCCCTTCCTTTTCGTGGACTCAGCTGTGGTTGCTACGGGGACAAGGACAGATGCTGTGTAGTCTTGTGCAGCCTGCGACATCTCACGTGAACAGTGAGGGCAATTCACCAACCAGAGTAGGTAGGTAGGAGTTTTTGTTAGTGTGGAGTTTGGTCAAACAACATATGGTTTTCTGGATGCATCTTACCCCTGAACCCAGATTTCCTTGGGACCCCAGGAGCATAGCTCCTGGAAGAGCAGGTGTCCTGAAGAATGAAGAAGGTGGGTTCTTGGGTTGTCCTTCACTCCCAATGGCCTCCTCGTACGGGCTTGTTGGAAAAATCTCTAAACCATCACTTTGCCACATTGCTGTGGGGGCAGAAGCGCTTCAGATCCACATAGCCTATTCTCTTGCAGCCCAGTGACTCCAATCCGTGAGGAAACTTGTCACTACTCTTTATCTCATACCAAGGCAGACATCAGTAAAGAATCACAGTTGCGGCTGAGCATGGCCTCATGGCCTGCTTTTCTGCTGTTTCAGAAAGCTGTCCTAATGGGTTAGAATTGGCAGTTGAAATAAAACCTATTTGCCATCCCTACTCTAATTTTTTAAGATCGCCATGGCCATAGTCCAAAGTTGAAATGCACCAAATAAATGGGATTGGACCAAAGCTGCAGTTTAGGAAAGGTACCTTGCCAAGTCGGGTACCCTGGGTCCGGCCCAATAGCTTAGTCACGGGGGCGGCTGCAGAGGGTGTACCAGCAAACATAGGGTGGGAACTGAGGCCCCAGAGCGATAGCCAGTGCAACCTTTGGTAAGTGAATGGACAGGCTCTCCTCAGAAACAGCTAGGGCAGCTGATCATGTTTTCACTCAACTGGCCTCGCTGAACAAACTAGCCTGTTGTTTTAGTGCTGGTAGATTCCAGTTCCAAGTGTGAGTGCTTGGGCCCTCTCAGGCCATCCCTGAAGGAGAGCCAAGCATGCCTGACTCCCAGGGGAAGGGGAGACCATACCCGCCTTGGCCAGAACTCCTGTCTGGCCTTGAAGCTGAGGCCAGCGTCATGAGTCCGGAGTCCCAGGGAGTCCTTGCAGGGATAGGAGTGGGAGAGAATCAGGACTACTGACCTCGGAGGTACTCCAGGCCTGGCAGCGTCGGGTTTATGTCTAGTTTACAGAACTAAGGGCATTGTGGGCCAATTTTAGATTTTAGGGAGAAAAAATAAATCTAAGTGGCACAGCTCTTATCAAGCATCCAGCCAATTCTAATCGACTCTGGCCAGGAATGTGGGGTGGGGATAATCAGAACCAGCGACGTCATTTGCAGGGCCCAGGGCAAAGCGAAAATGCAGAAAAAAGGCTTTTTCCTTTCCTCCAACATCTTACTCTTGACCTGCTGTGGTGGGGCTTTTCGTTTGCTATTTAAGGCCTTACTCCCTGAGGTGTGGGCACTTACCCAGCAGTGCAGACACTCACAGGCACAGGGGCCTCACCCTGTGGCTCAGGCATGCAGGGCATTCACGTAACCCTAGCCTTCCCTGCACTCTCCCCGGGGCCCCCACTGGGATGGAAAGTGGCAGCAGTCACTGACGGGGCCAGGAGTGGGGAGGACACATCACGGGGCAGGGCAGCAGGTGGCAGAAAACCTGTCCTGGAGAGGCAGCGAGGCAGTGGAGGCAGGACCACACATGAACCAAGGCTCCAGGCCTCCTGGAATGTGCTCCATCCTCCCATCAGACTTTGTCTACAAAACACAGATTCAAAGATAGTATTATTAAGAATTTCTAGATGGTGACCACAGAGCATTAAACCCAGTGTGGAGCCGTTTCTGAGTGTGGGGCCCTGTCAACTGCCCTGCATGCAGTGTTAACATGAACGTGGCTGTCCATGTGTATTCCTAGAGGGTCTGTTATTCAGGAAGGGAAGAAGGGGCAGGAGATGAGAAAACATTCTGAAAAACAGCTTTCTAAATGCCCTGTTGGCACATGCTATCCAACATTTGACACTATTATAATGACACATACTTGAGGCTTCTTCTGAGTATAAGGGGCCCTTGGGCAGCTCCCTGGCATCCTGAGAAGACACTGGGACAAAGGCTCAGCATTGCTATAGCACTCCAAGAGCTCTTTGGAACCCCTTGTCATCCATCAACTCTTCTGGAATTCTCTTTCCATTAGCTTCAGGACCGAGGACCTGCTGGATTCCCTCCTACGTCTTCAGATCGCTCTCTCTCTTTCCTGGTGCTTCTTCCTGCCCCTGCCTCCCTCCAGATGGGTGTATCCCTTCTCTCTCTCCATCCTGAAATTTGGCCTAGACATTTTCCTCTTGTCTCAAGACTATTAGCTCTCAACCTTTTTAGGGTCAGGGTCTGAAGATCTCCTTTAAGGATCTACTGATAGTGACTGATTCTTTACCCAGAAAATTTTCACATCAGGTCAGGGGAACCCAGGACCATCAGCATCCCAACCATGTGTACTGTTTGGTAAAAATGAAGGTTCCTGGGCTTCTAAATCCAAACTGAATTAGAATCTCCAGATGGAGCCCAGGTATCTGCATTTTAACAAGCATGCCAGGTGATTCTATGGACTCAAGTGACTTGGAACTGTAGCCACAGGGTGTCTGTGGACCTCAGGTCAATGCCAGGAAACCCTCATCTACGCACCTCACCATAGGGACCCCCTTGGCCATGGCTAATGTGTCCTAAATATAGAGCTCCAGCCAGGACCTTGCTCCCATAGTCCTGCTGCGTGGAAATGGCTATTGGACTGTCCTGGGAACTTTCAAAACCTGCTATCTACAGTCAATTCTTGCCTGTTTACCTTTTTTTCTGCCCATCTGCACATCTGAATTTGGCTCCATCTGGAGTTGGGAGTGATGATTGATTGATTGATTTCTTCTGACCTCTGTCAGCTCTCCATATCACCCCCTTACCATTGTGTGTGTGTGTGTGTGTGTGTGTGTGTGTGCATGCCATCTGGTAGTGGAGTCATGTTGCTACAGACTGCACCAATCCTAGAAAATGTGGTGCCATTTTCAGCAAATCACATTTGCTCAAAGCAGGATCGTATGTATTGAAAGCATATCTTCAAACACACATTCTCCCAAGAGTCCTCACGTCTGTGTCAAGTAGCCTCTCTCCATCAGTATCCTTGGCTCCCAGTCATCAGAGAGGCCTCCTTCTTTGTCTTCTACCCAATCAGACATGGAATCTTCCGCTGAAATACCTCTTGAATTTCTAGCTTTTGCTACAACTCTACAGTCACCAACTACATTTATCCACAACTTTGTCCCTAATTTTAACTACAAAGATTCTCTGGGTATTTTCTCCCCTCCCCCCATCTCACTTCCTAGTTCTATTCAACTTCCATCTACAGGGAAGATCTCAGACGCACACTGATTTCACGGTGTCATCCCCCTGTGTAAGAGTCTACCGTAGCTCCCCACTGCCTCACAGATACCATCACACCTCTCTGCTCGGCATTCGAGTGCTTCTGCCCCACATCCACCACCTGAGTACTTACTCAGCCTTATCTCTAGGCGTGCCGGCTTGGCCCATCTTCTTCCTTTCTCTCACCCGGAATCGTGCATGTGCCCACCTTTGCTCCTGCTGGTCCCCTGCCTGGGACGCCCAGCCCTCACCCCTGCAGCCACCTCAGGCCCATTGTTTCCTTAGTGCCACAGCTCAAGGCTCACCATCTCTGGAGGCCTTCTCAAACTGCTGTGTGACCAAACTGCTACAGGTTGCTTCCTGTCACTCCCTCATATTTCATTGTGGTTTCAAAGTGTCAACCTTTCCCAGTTAGGTTGTAAACACAACAGACACAGGGGCCAAGATTTCTGCTTCTCAGTAGGCTTTAGTGCACATAGTAAGTGCTTAGCAAATGATGGTTTTCCGAAAGGTCACAAGCTTGGATTTACGGGAAGACCTTCCCACTCCAATACTGACAATCATTATACGTGATCTGGAGAAACAAAAGGACCTCAGCTGCTCACATCACAACCTCGCTGGCTTGTCTGAGTGCTGGAACAGAATTGACAAGAAGACTCTCCTATTTGTGGAAGCAAAATTGTTTTGTTAGATTATGTGTAAATGGTTCATCTGAACCCCTTAGATCCTTGGGTAGTTATACACTAAGGGAGGTATCTGTTACCTGGTCTGGGCTCTCAGTTTTTCTCAGGCTATTTCATGCAACAAACAGACACCCAGTGAACCAGCGTCTGCCCTCAATTCGCCTCAGTGGCCTAGAGGAGACAAGGTGGTTGGAAGAGAGCCCTTAGGACTGCTCTCATGACAGCCAGCTCTCAGCCCCGTGATGACAGCACTGCCATTTGCTGAGACCTACCCCGTGCCAGGGTTGCGCTGGCACCCACCTGCATTGTCACCAAACCTCATTTAATCTATAGTGAATCCAGCTCAGAAATTATTCTTGGTCCATTGAAACTTAAGCAAAAGTGGCTTTGATGGGCAAATGGGTCTTTGTTGAATTGCTTTTAAGGATCTTTGGGGAAAATATACTGAGTTCTACATAAAAGAGAAGAGGCGGTTTCTTAGGGCCGGAAGGTGGTTAGTACATCTTGAAGGCGGAAGGTGCTCCTTGCTTTTTGGGTTGTGGTGCTGGCTTTGCTTTCTTCCACCCATGGTTTATCATCTAAATTTCTTTTTCTGTTGTAGGACCACCTGGCCCACCAGGTAAGAGCCCGAGGACTTCCCTAGTTCATGGGGAGGATATGGGGGGCCGGCTCCCCAGGACCCCTCGGAAGGGACTGAGGTGGGGAAGGGGGAAGAGTCTGGAGGCAGCCCGACTGCGACTAGGGCCCCCTCCTTCTCTCCCCTAGTCACGAGCTCTCCTATCCCTCCCACCTGAGACCCTGCGTCACCATTCCCCCCTGCCCCCCCGCCCTGTCACTTCTTCAGGCGCAGGCAGCAAAGGTAGAGGAGAAAGGGAAGAAGCAGGAGGGAATCTGGAAAAGGCATGGATGCCTATCCTGTTTCATTGGCTAAAAGAAATCACGTTAACTTCGGTGAAGATTTTTTAAATGTTCCTATTTCCACGTTTTGACACAGGACCCCCAGGAATTGGCGGGTTACCAGGACACAATGGATCAGATGGACAGCCTGGTCCCCAGGGCCTAAAAGGCGAAAAAGGAGCAAATGGAAAACGAGGAAAAATGGGTATTTTGGCAACTCTTCTAATTAACTTTCTTGTTGCTTGTCTCCCTCTTGCATTTTGGATGGGCTAAAGCTGTGTGCACTGGGGATGCAGTGTTGCCTCTCTATGCGCAAGGCTGGTTTCACTCCTGTCTGGAGACTCCTGTGCTCTGTGGTGCCAAAGGCATTCTTGTTGGTTCAACTCTGACAAAGGCTTATCCAGTTAGAGAAGCCGTGTCTGTGGGAGCTGCTCGCCACCCTTCTGCTTGCTCTGAGGCAGACCGACCGATGGAAGGGGCAAGAGCGGGCAGCCCTGGGGAGGGGCACTCCATGGGCTGTGTGATGGTTGTACGTGCGATGCCCCAAGTTCTTTTGAGGGTTATTTCCTGCCTCGCCCTCTCACTGACTTCTCCTTCCCAGCAAAACTTTGTGTTTGATTGAAAATCGGTTGACCATGTTGGCCCCTACCTTTTCCTGGCTACAGGAATAGCGAGAACAACTTGAGGAGAATAACAGCCTCCCTGAGGTATGGCCCCAGTTGTCCGGGTCTCCTACCCAGGGGTCATAGGATGGTTACAAAGATGTGGCTGGCATCTCTGAGGGACTTGCTCTACCTGCTAGGAGCGGCAGCATCACCCAGGCAAAGGCCCGGAAGCACCACGGTGTCTGATGTGTCCAGGGAGCAGTGAGAAGAGGGACTCAGACGGGGCTTGGCAGGAGGCTGGGGGTCATGGTGGGGAAAGTTCTGAAGAGCTCAGAGCACCAGTCCCGAGGAGTCTGTGGAGAAGGACTGGGCAGAGCCACTGCAGAAAGCTGGCACCTGGCATAGCGGAGGCTCCTAGAGACTGCTCAGGACGCTTCTAGGGAGGCCTGGCTCTTAGCCCCTGCAGAGGCTGGAGCCTCCGCCACACGCTCTGGTTGATTTTCCACCTCTTGGCTTTGCTACCCCAGCTCACCCAGACAGACCCTGGGCTAGAAGAACTACTGGAAGTTTCTTTGAGACAGCACAGCAATCCCTTCCAGCACCTCTGCTGTTATTCCTGCAAGCAGTTTAAGTGAGAGCTGGTGGAGAGGGAGAAGATTGTCGAGGGGTTCTGCCACTGGGCAAAGCCTACACGTTCATGTTCCTGGGGACCGCCTCTGTGAGGATGGGCACATGCGGTCCGAGTCAGCTTGGTCCTCAGGAGGCCAGCAATTACAGCCAGAAGGATGGAGTAGTAGTGGGTCATTGTGTGTTGGATAATAATTATAATTATAAAGGAACATTGGTATCGAATAAAAAGGACCATCAGGGTGCAGGCACTTAGTTTATCCCAGGAAGACCCCAGAAATGTGATCCAGTCCTCAGGATTCAGCAAGGAGTTTCCTGAGGGCCAACTGTGAGGAAAGGGGGCCACCATACTAGCACTGGGTATGGGGCAGGTGGAAAAGGGGTGATTTTCAAAAAGATTTGAGACAGATCCCTGGTTTGCAAGAGATGATGCAACCCACAATCCAGTGAGGGCTGAAAAGAAAGAGTTCATTCATTTATATAACATATATTTACATGGCAGGTACTGTTCTAGATACTGGAGATCCAGAAATGAAAAAGCTGACAAAACCCCTGCCTTCATGAAGCTTACATTCGAGTCTGGGCTGTTAGGCAATAAGCAGATAAATAAGTAGACTGTATCGTCTGTTACATGGTGCTAAGTGCTAAAGAGAAAAAATAGAGCAAGGAGAGGGGATGGAAAGTGGTTGTGGATGGGGGTGTGATTGTAGACTGGGAGGCCAGGGACCTCTGAGCAAACACCTGGAGGAGGGGAAGAGGGCGCCCTGGGGGATGTGGGGGCGAGGGTTCCAGCAGAGCATGTGAGTCCAACGTGCCTGCAGAGTCTGAGGAGCCCCCAGGAGGCCAGGGCAGCCAGACAGAGAGGATGAGAGGTGAACATGGTCGAGTTGAGACCAGAGAAGTAAAAAGGCCAAATCACGTTGGCCCTGGGCATTTGCAGAATGTGGTTGGTACGCAGAGTGAGATGGGGAGCGTTTGAGGCAGAGCAGAGACCTGCCCTGCCACACGGATGAGAGGTCGCCCCGGCAGCTGTGCTGAGGGAGGCTGCAGGGAGGAAAGGAGGAGGCTTGGAGCAGGAGACAGCAGCGGATGGATGGGAAGTTGCCGGATTCTGTTTATCCATGGAGGTTGACCAAATCTTCAGTGTCCTGGAGATCCCACAGGAACTGCAGCAAAGACGCAGACCCTCCTCTGCGGCAGTCTCCCAGTGAGGAAGGCCTCCTGGGGTCAGCAACATTAGAACGAGAAGATTCCACCGAGGCTGAGGATAGAACTTGAGTCACCAAGGGCTCCAGCAGAAAGTCCTTGCCCCAAAGCCAGGGAAAAGGGAGATAGGGAGTTATGACATACTCTAACATAAATAGCTAAAGTTTATCATCAGGCCCTCCTTCAAGTGCTCTCTCTACTCATCTCATAAAGTCCTCATAACAAACCTAAGGAGATGGATATTTTTATTAGCCATATTTTTTCTAGATGAAGAAGCCTTATCTTTCTGTTTCTCAAACAGGCCAAACCCATCCTTGCCCCAGGACCTTTGCACTGCTGTGCCCACTGCCTGGAATGCCCTCTCCCTGCCCCTCACGTGGCTGGTCCGTCCCATGGGGCAGGTCTCAGATCACATGTCATCACCTCTTCAAGATCACCCCTGACCTCTGTGTCTGGCCCCTGCCTCGCCCATTCAGTCACATTCCTTGCTCTCTTTCAAAACATGTTTCCCATCCTGAAATTCTCTCCTTGTGTTTGCTCCTTGATGTGCTGATGATCTGACTCCCCAGGGAGAACCTGAGGGCCATGAGAGCCTGGCCACATGTGTCTTGCTTAGTCCCAACCTCCAGTGCCTGGAACACTCAGCAAAGGAGGGCAATAAAGTCATTGTTGAACGAATGGACATAACTTGTCCAATGTCATAAAGCTAATGAGCCAGCCCTGATGGCATAGCGGTTAAAGTTCGGTGCGCTCCGCTTCAGTGGCCCAGGTTGAGTTCTGGGCATGGAACCATACCACTCGTCTACCAGTAGCCATGCTGCAGTGGTGGCTCACATAGAAGGACTCACAACTAAAATATACAATGATATACTGGGGCTTTGGGGAGGAAAAAGAAAAAAAAAATATATATATATATATATGTATGTATATATATACAAATAATGTTACATTTAAGGGGTAAAAAAGCTAATAAGTAGAGGGCTTGAATCCAGGTCTCTCTGACTTCTAGACCCCTGCTCTTAACCACAACTGCACTAAACTTCCAGGCTCAAGGAGACTGGGCCCGAGTTGTGAGAACACATTATTGGAGGTACCACAGAGCAGGTGTGGGCAGGAAAGATCCTGGGCCTTGGGAGCTAGTGCCGTTAGCTGTTGAAGGGTGTAGGACTGTGGACGCCCTCGACCTGAGCCAATGCTGGGTCTTACTGGGAGGGCTGGGGGGTGGCAGCCCTTCAGAGAGGCCTGCAGGACCTGGGCAAGAACCCACAGTTCAGTGAGTAATTACCTGCCAGGCAGGCAGAGTTGATTTTGTGCCTCTTGTTCCCTGTTCTCGAGGCAAAGGGCAGCAGTGGAAGGAGTTCCAGGAGCACTTGACTCCATCCCCAACCAGCTCTGAGGCCTTGGGCGAGTCACTCTACCATCAACAGACGGAGGCGGCTGGGTTCCAACAACTCTAACATGGTTCCAGTTTTTAAACAGTCTGCTCCAGTGTTTGTCTATGAAGGGGAGACTATATCTTCTATATTCTATTACTTGGCACAGCTCTCAGCCAGGCCCCACTCAAGGCTCAATAAATGCTTGATGAATGAAGAATAAATGAATTCATGCACGAATGGGAAGAATAGAACATAGTTTCCGTCCGTAAGGGCTTACCGCCCAGTTGAAAGGGAAGGTGTATCTTACCCACAGCGTGTACTCGGTAATTGGTTATTCTGCCTTGAAGACTGCTGTATTCTGCCCAGCAGGTCATGCTGCCAGAAGAAAAGCTAAACTTTCTTGTGCAGGTAATGAACAATAGGACCCTATGTAGAGGCTGGACTGTGCGGTAGAGTTAAGTGTAAGGGACAAGAGAAAGTGTGATGGACATCTTGGAAATAAGTAGAGGGGAGGCGGGGAGAACACTGCAGGGGGAGGACAGAAAGGACTCACCTGGAGGAACTGTTAGTGAAGCTGCCTCTGGGCATAAGTGCCCCAGCCTAGACTGCAGTGGCGCCAAGGGTTTCAACTTTACATCTGCAGGAGCAGGTGGGACCCACCGTGGGCTCTTGCGAAGAAGACTAACCTGACAAAATCAGAGTTTTGGAGGTCTAGTCTAACAGGTGAAGTATGACAGATAAGCCTCCGTTGCTGACCTTAGGAATGCTAAGAACCCTGGTGGAATCATCACATGGAGCCAGGGCCTGAGGGCTTAGGTTGAGTCCTGGCTCCTCCACTTACTAGTTGTGAGCCCTTGGGCAAGTCACTCAACTGCTCTGTGCCACATTTCCTCGTCTGTATAATGGGGACAATGAAATATCAACCTCATAGTGTTGTTAGGAGGATGAAATGAGTTAATATATATAAAGCACTCAGAATAGGGTCGGACAACTAGAACGCACTCTGTTAGTGATAGCTGTTACTGTTGCTGCTGCTTCCCAAAATGGGGAAGGAGAAGCTTGGGTTTAGACCAAAAGGAACTCTAAGTTGAAATGCCTATATTCATCTGAAAACACTGACTCAGATTTGGAGAGAAGAATTGGACCTAAAAGAGACTGAAATGTTGTCAGTTTTGCAACTAGCATCTTCTGTGAAGTTTGACATTCTGTTGCCTCAAAACCAAGCATTTTCTTTCTCTCCATCTGTCTCTCACTTTCTCACTTAAGAGTTAATGCTGCAGTGTCATCTCTAAAAATCAAATCCCCGTAAAAACAGAAATAAACACCTCCCCTCCTTATTCATCCTAGTCTCAGGACTGGGTTTTGTGCGACACCCTCGGGTCCCCTTTCTCCCTGCCTCAGCCTGTGACAGATGGTCCTGCCAAAAATAAGACATCCTCCCTCACCCCCTGCCGGGAGGTTGGTGGAGTTGACCCCAGCAACATCACACAACCCCAAACTCTAAAGCTGGTAAAATGGTTTGTTTTGAGTGGGCGCCAGCGGGGAAGAAAAACAGCAGAGAGCTACTTCTAGCACATGAGTTGGGCACGCAGAATCCGGCCTTTCTTCTCTAGCAGAATGTGCTGACTCAAAACCTGCCAGGAGTCATGGGACAAACAATGCCTGGGCCCAGGCCACACAGTGTAATAGTGTCACTGTGCACGGCTGAGTCAGGGCAGGATAGAAAGTGCCACACACAGGTCCTCCGATGAGATTAGGAATCTCATGAATGAGATTAGGTGTGGTGTACTCTTGACACCAGTGCACGGCCGGTACATGGCCAAGGCGATTTCACCAACAAAGACGAGGGGAATTCTCGGAGGCAATGGCTACGAGAGGGCAAAACAGACTGTATATAGACAAAACGTCCCCACCCTTTCCTAACGAAAGCTAAAAAATGATCATGCACACCCAGCTAAGGGTCAAAATACACCCTTAAGCAAAGGTCTTTAATATGTTGAGCTTTAAATACCCACCCCTGTGGGGGCTGCCTTCAATAGCTGCGTACAGTAGGAACATTTTCCTATTTCACACATGGCCTTTTTGGTAAAGAAAATAAAAGGCATAAGTGGAAGGAATAAAAGAAAAGAAGGGGAAATAGGATGATGATGCAGAAAGGCTCTTTGTGACTAGAATAAATGCCTGAAAGATGAAACCCTGAAGTAACTAGAAGATACCGTTTCCCTGAGCTTTGCTAAATCCGGGCATGTGAAACCTTTGGAAGGTATCGGTTATACTTGGTGCATTGTGCTGGCTGGACTCTATGGCAACGTTCTCGTCTTTTGTGTCCTGCAGATAATGTGACAAATTGCCTATTTAAATACTGACAAAAGAACATCTTCTCATGCAGGGGTCCTCGATTAAGGGCTCCTCTCAAGTGAATCACTTTCCAGCAAGATGTCTTAATGACTGTGGGCAGGGATGACCCAGCCCTCATCTCTCATAATGAGAGAAGCATTATAAGCCGTGACCCGCCCCCCCCGCCAGGAATGATTGTCCCCCTGTGTTACTGAATCCTTGGCAGAACAAGTGCCAACAATGGAGGGGCTTCCTTGCTCTCCTTCACATCCTCTTCCCTGGGTCGCCAGCTCTTCCATCAGTGTATGTGCCCACCCCAGATCACCACTGGCTGAGGAGGGGAACCCCAGGGCTCTGACTCTCAGCTACAGCTGAATTTCAGGGTTTTCACTGAAGTGTTTTTTATGGTTGGCTGAAATCTAGCAAACTGTTCACTACATTTTCTAACAGTGATCAACACTTGAAGGTTCTTTCCTACACTGCTGTCTTCCCTGGGATGGCATGTGATGGGTCCCTTGGATATAGAAGAGTAGAAACCATTTTGAGTATTTATCACTCCTCTGGCATAAAGGAAAAGGTATGAAGAGCTCAGATGTATGTTTGAGGGAATAATTGCCTTTGGTAGCAGTGTGGAGTATTTTGAGTACCATCTGGTGTGATGCGATGTAATAACCTCCCCATTGCCAGAAGGGCTTGAGAAGAGCCAGTCAGGTGATGTAGAGACACTTAAAGGGTTGGGTGGCAGGTTGCCCAAATGACCTCTAAGGTGCCTTCTAATCCAGAATTCTGTGATTCTCTTGGGATGGCGCTGGCAGGAAGTGAGGGTGGGGGCAGTCCAGACTTGGTTTCAAATCTGGAGGGAAGACAATGGCAATGCCAGAAAGATAACTGGAGAATGAAGATTGGTCAAGCTGATGGGGCATAGGAGAGGTGCAAATGGGCAATGACTTAGCCAGAGCCTATAAGAAGGGTGTGGGACTGGCAGGGTGTTGACGAAAATAATCCACAACCAATCTATAAATGAAAATTTGGGAGAGTTCATTCTGAGCTAAAATCTGAGGACCATGGCCCAGGGCCTTTCTTCTCGAGGAAGAAAGGACACCAAAGAAGTATACAGAGTGGTTATATACCCCCAAACAGGATGTTTCACATATGATTGAAATGCCCCTCCCACAATAGTCACAAGATTGCCCTGTTGGCACAGGGCTTGATGGACACAGCAGGTAGTGGGTCTGCTATCTTAGCAGGTGCAGCAGAAAGCAAGTCTGTGGTCTTGAGCTGGGTGGTCACAGGTGAGTGCAGCAATCAGTTCCTAGCCTAAGGAAAGATGCTTAATCCTTAAGGGAATGCCAACGTTGGGATGGGGAGAGAAGTTGCACCTTTATCTCAAGGGCCTTTGTTCTTGCCATAGGCAATGTCTAAAGCAGATATACAATGCATGCTCAACAGCCGAGGTCAGGCCCTTTTGGAAAAACAAAGTCAGGCCGAATTAGGTTTACACCAAATGGCTTCCTCATATACTCCAATATATCCTATTGCTTGCCATTTCTATTTGTCAAGGGTGATTAGAAAAGGCAATGGAGCCTAAGCCCTCTTGGTTGTAGGCATTGAGAGGAACTAAAGGTTTGCCTGCACTAAAGTGTGCCTCTGGCTCTTCTCTGTTGCCTGAAATCTCTCCTACTTTGAGCAACGTTTCTATTGAGCAACATCTCCACGAGGCTGTTATCAAAATGAGCACGTGGTCCCTGCAATAGGGTCTCATGTTAGTTGACGCATACCCGGCAGTTCCTTTGCCCAATCTTAGGCAATCACTTTCCCTCCCAGGGCCCCAGGGTGCTCATGACTTCTAGTAACTCTTTTATAGATTCCTTGAGATATTTCCACATAAATAATCATGTCATCTGCAAATAAAGACAGTTTTAATTCATCCTTTCCAAGCTGTATGCCTTTTCTTTCTTTTTCCTTGCTTTTTTGTACTGGCTAGGACCTCTTGTAGAGTGTGCAATAGAAGTGATGGGAGAAGATACTTTGTCTTGTTCCTGATCTTAGGGGGAAAGCATTGAGTCTATCACCATTAAGGATGATGTTAGCTGTAGGTTTTTCACAGATGACACTTTTTAAATTGAGGAAGTTTCCTTCTATGCCTAGTTTGAGAGAAATTTTATTAAGAATGGGTATTGGATTTAATCAAATGCCTTTTCTGCATCCATTGAGATGATCATGATTTTTTTGCTTGCTTACATTGTTAATTTGCTCTATTACATTGACTGAATGATTTAAACTTTGGACTCTGTTCTGGCATGCAGTTAGACTATTTGCAGATCAGTTTTCATCCCTTTGGAGCTTGTTTTTAAGCCTTGTTATGATGGATCCACAGCAGCCTTGACTCTCGGGCTAATTTAGCCCCACTGCTAAGACAAGACTCTTCCAAGGACTCTACCCAATATCCCATCCTTTTGTGAGATCTCTCTGCCTGGACTGGGAGGAATGAGCACGTCCCCTGTGTAAGCTCTGAGAGCGGTGCAGTCACCTGCTTTCTGCTGATTCTTTTCCTGCCTTGTAGGGTTTCACAGATCATGACTCAGCCAAAGACCCAAGGAAACCCCTCTGAAGTTCTCCAGAGCTCTTTCTATACAACTATCTCCTCTCTCATATTCTGTCTCCCAAATTCTAGCCACCTCATCTCCCAAATTCTGGTTTTTGTCTCCTCAACTCAATGAAATCACCAGGCTCTGTGGGTTCTCTGTCCCTGTACTGCTCTCTGGAAACTACCTGCCAGTAGTAAGCTGGGACAATCATATTATGAACCTCGTTTGCTCCTTTTTCCCAGGGATCAGAATCCTGTGCTGGCCATGGTCCAGTGCTGAGATGAGTCATTGCGTAGATGTCAGCTTTTTCTAGCTGTGTGTGGCAGGACTGCAATTCCTGTAGTGATGGCTCACCATGAGCAGAGGCAGAAATCCCACCCACTGCAATTTGTTCACGCTATCACCATCCCTCTTAATGCCTGTCCTAGAGCAACTTTACCTGTTTTGCTATTTTGGTTAAAAGCATTTTACGTTGGAATGTCAGAGGAAAGGACAGTGGTCACGGAGTCAGAAGATCTTTGCTGCTCACTTAGCGGCATTAGCTATAACCACTGTAGGCCTTAGTTCCAACTTCTAGAAAATGAGAATAAGGATAACTTCCCAGCCTCCACTCCAATATGTTGTGAGGAATAAACCTAATAATGCGGATAACAACACCCACCATGACAGCACCAAGCCGGCTCCTCTCAGGGTTCCCTCGGTCCTGCGTGGGGGTGGGGCCCGACTTCTGATTGGGCCTCACCATCTTTCTGTTCTTGCTGTGACTGTCCCTCTTGTGGTTCACTCCTCTCTCCAACTTGTCCCAGCCAAACGTTTCTAAAAATACTCCAGCAGAGCCACCTGGAAATACTATTCTTTAATGAATTTATGGCCACGCTGCTATCCTAAAATGGTTATAAAGCGTTATGTATTTGGTTTTTGAAGCTGCTTCGCCTTAAAAGTACAAAGTATAGTATTACAAAGTAATGTACCAGAATTTCTGGCACAAGAGGCTAATAAATCATCTTTTTCTCAGGGCTACCTGGAGCCCCAGGAAATCCAGGGGAAAAGGGAGACCCTGGTGAACTGGGCTTGACTGGAAACGAAGGCCCAGCAGGACAGAAGGGTGAAAAGGGGGACAAGGGAGACGTGTCCAACGATGTGCTCCCCGCAGGTAAGAGGCTGGTGCTCAGGCCTCTCCGAGGGGGAACAGGCCTGGAGACCTGCCCGCGTTTTCATATAAGGGCTGCTCTGGGTTTTCTCTCATTTTCCTTTTGTGGCCATCTGTTTTACAGCATGTTCTAGAATTCTGTGCTTTCAAAAGGGAGAAAACTGTGTGTGTTACCCTAGCGTTGGCAAGACCAAATCTGGGATCTTAGATCATTCAGGTCTAAATGTCATGGTTGGAGTGAATTAGGAGGAAGGCAGTTTCCTTTTTCCAAACATCTATTAAATGCAACACGATCTAGAACAAGACAAGTAAGCAAGCAACTTAAAATACCTCAGAGGACAACTGAAAGAAAGCACAGGCATTTTCTTCAAAGTTGAGGTACGGCTTAGCACAGCTCCAGGTACATAGTTGGAAGTCAACACCTACTATAGCTGCTTCCTCATCTCTGCGTGGACAAGTGCTGGAGCACAGTTAGCTCTGGGAGGGGACGTCCAGCGAGCCTCCCTGGAGCACCTCATTCTCCTTTTCCCTGTGTGACACCCAGTCTCTGATCACGGCTCGTTAATCAATCTCTTCCCCCTCTCCTTGTCTCTCTCTCTCTCCAGGTGCCAAAGGTGACCAAGGCCCACCCGGCCCGCCAGGCCCACCTGGCCCCCCTGGGCCTCCAGGCCCTCCAGGTCCCCCAGGGCCCCCTGGAAGCAGAAGATCCAAAGGGTCTCGGCAGCCAAACATGTTCAACGGCCAGTGCTCAGGTCGCCAAGCCCTGCCCCAGGGAACCTGCCTCTTTTGCTAGTGATCCCAAACTCTCAGACTTTACCTGGCTTTATGACCAGATTTTTTAAACAGAGGGAGGAGATTTTGTCCAAAGCCAGAGCTCCCACTTGCAACACGTTCATGGGAGGCCTGAGCCGTCTGCCCCCGGGATGAGGACTGGAGGCAGGTTTAGCATTGGGCCTCCCACCCCTTTCCCTCGCCTCTCTCGTTTATCACCAGACTATTCCTCTTCCTTACCAAATCCACCATCCGTCTCCCCTGAAACAGTCTCAAGGGCTAAGCTGTTCACTTTTGGAGCATGCGGGCTTGACTGATGCTGGAGGAGATGATGGGGAGGTTCAGATTGGTTAACTCCGCACAAATACTACAGTACTACCATCACCACCACTAAGTTTGAGTGCTAATAATGTGCCAGGCACAGTGCTAAGTGCTTAGTTCATTTAATTCTCACAACAGTCCTATAATTCAGGAATTGTTATTGTCACCAATTTACAGATACAAAACTAAACCCCAAGTTGCTAAGCAGCTTGCCCAAGGTCACTCAGTTAGTAAGTGACAGAGCTGGGACTCAAACCCATGTGCGCCTGACTGTAAAGGCCTTGCTCTCAGAGCATCTTCTTTTCAGAGATGGAAATTCACCCTTTGAGACTAAGCCCACCAAGGACAGGGAATGCTTGATCTCTGGCAGGCCAAGAGGGCTTGTTCTTGGCCAGTTTGTGACAGGGGTGGCCATAGGATTGAAAGCTGATCAGAAATCAAGAGCCATATTAATGGAAAAAGCTTCTACAGTGAAGCTGGAACTTCTTCCCAAAAGGGGTGACCTGGACCCACTCACCTGCTCGGGCTACGAGGAGGCATAACATGATGCCGTGACTTCTGTGGTGACAGGAGGCTCCTGACTGGGGTTTCACTCACACTTGCTGTGGATCCACTGCCACTTTCCCAAATGGCCTTTCGTTCTGTCTGGGGCACTGTTCTTTCTGGAAGACATTTGAGGGGCGCACAGCTTTCAGTGGGCGAATCTGTACCTTCAAAGATGTCACCCCTGCCCCATAAGGGAGCCTGATTATAATCCTGCCCAACAGTTAGCATGATGTTAAATCGCAGCACGGTGGCTCCGTGGCTGGCGATCAGCGCCACCCCCTCCATTAGCGTCAGCCCTTTGCTCAGCCTCCTTGGAGATGGAACTGAGCGGGAACCTTCGCCTGAGAGAGGAGTGGAGAGCTGACCCTAGCTTTTGCAGAATTCTAACTTGCCAGAGGCTCTGTCAGCTGGTGACAGGGGCTGCCTGGAGAAGCTCTCTCCTCCGCCTCGCCTGTCTACCAGGAGGCTGGTCGGCAGGGGCTGGGCCCCAGAGTTGTGAAAACTGCTTTAAATGAGAGGCCATTATCTTCCACTCTGCCTCTGAGAAATGAGTCGTCGGTTGCCAGGCATCCGGCATCTGAACTTGGCCCTCTTTCCTGCTCCACTTCCATTTCTTTAACCCCCTCCCACCCCCACAGCTTTAGAAGCAGGTTGATACGACAGGAATTAATGAGAACCTTTCTTCAGACTAAGAACAGGAGGGTCTCTCTGTCCCTTTCTTTGCAAAGCCCAAGTTCATAAGTGGAAACTCCACATGAAACTCAGGCAGCAGGATTGCCTGTGGGGGAGTCATAACAGGTCCCTGAGATGGCTCTCATCGATGACAGAAGGAGTTCAGAGAAACATAGCCTTGTCCAGGTAAAGAAGCTTAGAGATCGTGAAGGGTCCGGCCCCCTTCTTTCCCTGATAAGAAAACTTTCCAGATTGTTCTGTGAGCTTCTCTAGTGACCACAGAGGTGATTTGAATGCCTCAGAATTTGTCTAGGCAAGTGGGCCTGGCCTTTCCTAGAAAGCCCAGTTTGCCCCAACCTGCCCCAGACCAGGGTCCTTACCACAGCCATCCACTCCCCCTCATCTGGGTACTGGCCATGTTCCTTCCCTCCTCCTGTCCTGCTCCTGCCACCCCAAGCCACCTCTTCACCAAAGGTTTGAATTAATCCCGTTTGTTAAGGGGAACAGTGACAAGCAGAGGAGGATGAATTCCAGCTCAGGTGTAGCCTCAAACCAACTGTGAATCAGGCGCCCTGTGTCCCATATGCCTTCAAGCAGAGACAGGTGGGAAATGGTGGTGAGTGGGCCCAATGTCTCCTGCTCAACATCTCCGGTGGGGCTGCCTCCAGGCTCCTCCTTCCTCTGAGATTCCTCCCCTGGTGGTCCAGGAAGACAGAATAAAGAGAGCCCCCCGTCATGAGGCTGCTCCCTCACTGCTCCCCATCAGCTTCCTGGAAGTGAAAATCCTTCCAGAAAAATGCAACCGTGATGGTGATACCACCTGCCCAGAGAGACCAGGAAGGTGTCAATAAGCCTCTCTTTCCCTCAGATGGCTGAGGGCCTGAACGGGTTGGCTTAGACCCCTGTTTCCCTTTTACTGACATCCTCTTTGGATTGTATTATCTTAGCAACTGCGGTCTTTGAAAGCTTGTTGGGAACTCATCAAGCAGGGTAAAATATTTGGAAGTGGATGGGTTGATATTGCTTAAAAGCAAGCAAGCAAAAACCTTGGTGGGCCTATTCCAAGGGATGCTCGTGGGACCAGAGTCTGGAACGAGGTGGGGGAGCACCAGTTACACAGTTAGACGAATCTCACTGTGCCCACTGCGTTTGCTCTGATTATTGTTGTTTCAGGGGAGACATGTGCTGTACCAAATGATGACACCTTGGTTGGAAAAGCTGATGAAAAAGTCAATGAACACCATTCCCCACAAGCAGGTAGAGATCCTATTTTAAATTCAGAAATTGGTTGCCTTGAAGTCATAATTGGCAGGTGAGTAACTTCATCCTCTTCTGGTAGAATCCATGATCGCTTCCATTGGAAATCCAATGCAAGTATTAGAAGTGACAGAGACATTTGGCACTTGGATACGAGAGTCTGCTAACAAGAGTGATGAACGGATCTGGGTGACTGAGCATTTCTCAGGTACCGTCTCTTGGCAGATGATCTATATCTGTGTTATGATTGTATCTTTCCTCTGTTGCCTACCTTCAGGCTTATTCTATTTCTGTGCGTCTGAAATCCCTGCTAATTGGTTTAACAGAACTGCTCTTTATTTTAAGAAGCACAAATGAGTGGGCAGAATATTTTTCTTCTTTGAGCACACTGATGACCAGCCTTGCAGTTCAGGTCACAGGACATGACCCGGGCACCCCCAGTATGGCTTATCCAACTTTAGGCAAAGTATCCAGAAGGAAATAAATAGCATGATGACTGATGGCCTCATAAACCCCAAAACCATAATGTGGAAGCAACGTCAGAGACAAAATCGTTTGCACTGTCCATCTGTCGCTGAGATTGGCACCCTCCCAGGATGGTCCTTTTGGCCATCTTTCTCAGTTATCTGTTGGACAGAGAGCCCAGCGGAGAAGGTGAAGGGCCATCTTGCAGATACACTGCATCTGAGCATGACCCTAGTCATACTGCCCCAAAGGGATGTGCTCAGGAATTGCCAGTGGTGGTAGCAGTGGCCTCATTCCAGAAGGGGTCTGGGCATACTCACTGGTCAGAGCAATAGCTGAGACATGCTTCTTCATCTCGTCAAGGCTGACTGATCAGCTGGTGATGACGGCATGGATCACCAGCTGAGAAGGATTCTGTGGCTCAAAAGGAAAGAGGAATAATGTGAAATAGTGGCTGCCGTGGGTGCAGGAGGAGGCAGGACAGGTCTGAACAATTGCCAAGTATTCACTCTTCCTGGTATAGGCCTGTGTCAGTCTGATAGAGAATTTTATAAACAAGCTAGAGTGGGGTGGGGAGGGGGTGATAGTTTTCCTGGGAGGAGCCAAGCCAACTGTGTGGGGCGACTACGGTTCAGGAATCCATAGAGGAGAACCGGACTTGGAGTTTGGGAGTCTGAGACTCTTCAGACTGGACAAAGACACTTACAGGACATCTCACTCCCAACTGCCCTCCTTCAACTTCCTCCCCCACTCACCCCCATGCTGTGATGGCCAGCCCTGACGGCAGGTGACAGCCCCTTTCCCTGGCTTCTCTCCTGCAGGCATCAGGGTGAAGGAATTCAAGGACGAGCCCTCACTGCTGAATGGCAGTTACACGCTTATCCAACTCCCATATTTTTTCCATGGCTGTGGGCATGCCGTTTACAACAACTCTCTCTACTACCACAAAGGAGGCTCCAAAACCATAGTGAGGTGAGTTCCTCGGGGCCCCACAGTACTTTCTCACCCATCCCAGACAGCAGCTGCTGTGAGGTGCTTAGCTATCCATGCGCTGCTTAAGGGTAGGGACTGTGCTTCACCATCTTTATGTCCCCAGGGCCTGGCACACCGTCAGAAGTCAATCAGGGTTTGCTGACGGTATAAACCACAAGATGCAATGAGTGAGCCCCACGACCAGCCCCTGCCTGGGGTCTGCATTTATTGCTGGTCTGGAGGCCAAGAGTAAGGTCAGAGCCAAAGAGAAGTAGACCTGGAGTGCCAAGGACTGCAGCTCTCTCATCCCTTGAGAAAGGACACAGCCGGAACCCAGAGCTCCAGAGCTAGCAGGAAGGTGTCACACCCCGAAATCGGTTTTGTTCTGAAAAACTTTGGGTGTGAAGAATTTCCCGTCATAGCTGAGATCATCGAAGACGAGGGACTGCAATGCAAAGTCAGGGGGCTCTGCCTGCAGACCGCCCCGTCATCCTGATGGAGCCCTTGCCAGGCCACCTCTTCTCCCCACTCTGCTTTCCCAAGGGGAAGGGAGGTGGTCACGCAGGTACACTGTGCCCAGGGCAACGGTCGAGTTTTCTCTGCTCCCCACAAGAATTGCTAGAGTTTTGTCTTCGTGGCTCAAAAAGAAGTCAAGTTCCAGCTTTCGAGGCAGAAGCAGGTCATCTTGGACAAATCAAGAGAGCAGTGCACTCAGTCAGGTTCCAGCTCTTCCTCCTACTCACTCCATAACCTTGGACAAGAGACACCACCTCCTGTGCTCTCCATGTCCTCCATAAAAATGAAAAGGAGGACGAGAGCCTCCGCAGCCCTCCAGCTGTACCTCATCTGAAATAACAAGTCCGGTTTATGAAAACCGTGGTCCTAGTCATTCAGAACAAGAGACAAGGACCTGCAGGGAGGACTGGGTCCCTTCCCCCTCACCATCTCCTCCCCTCAGTGAGGACCAGCCTCAACAACCGTGCTGGCACTGGAGAACTAGGTTAGGCTGGGGACAGGTTTCCTAGCACAAGGTGCAGTTAAACAAGCCACGTTAGACACACGCATCGGCCGTGGCTCGAACTGTCCCCTCCTTTGCCTCTCTTCTCTCTCTACTGGACTCCCCCATCATCTCCCCATCTCCCCGGCCACCTCATTTAGGCAGTCTTGTGCTCACAGAAAAGGACAACTGCCCACCTCCTGTTCTGTAGTCATCTGCCCCCGACAGGCTTCTTCCTCTGACATTCGTCCTCATTTAGTCCTGTGGCGCCCTGCTGCCATTTACATAGGGCTGTCGTTACATGGTGGGGGCTGGGGGGTCCTGGGGCGAATGAGCCCTGGAAGGAGGATTGGCCACTCTAAGAAAGAGTGTCTTCTAATGCAGCTAAGTTTGCCTGATGCCCTGGTTAGGAGAGCTGTGCTGAGGCCCTGCTCTATGCCAGGCCACATGCTGGGAGTGGAGGGAGAGGCAGGCCGGAATCAGACCCTTTTCCTCCTGGGAGAGACAAGCCTCATTAAGCATGCAGCTGCTAGGTACCAGTACCAGACACGGACCAAATGGCAGCACTGAGTCCCAGGCATTCAGGGGAAAGAGAACCCCGTGAGCTGAGACAGGCAGGCAGGGCCTTACCAAGCCCTCACTCCTCTGGTTTCTTTTCAAACTTACTTCAGGTTTTCTTAATTGGCTTCAAGTCTGGATATGCTCCAATGTGTATCCACGCCACAGTCTTACACATTTCACATTTCTTGCGCTGCTCAATGGCACCCTCTGGTGTCTTTCTTGTCTTTTAGCCTAATGTCCCTGAATTTTCATTCCTGGAGCTAGGTGCCTTTGAATCATAATCCACTTTTTTTTAAATAAGTCCCTCTATAGGAATATATATATATATTTTGTATATAAAATATATTAAATATATATATTTATTATATATATTTTTTTTCCAGGGGAAGATTTGCCCTAAGCTAACTTCTGTTGCCAATCTTCCTCCTTTTTTTCCCTTCCTTTTCCCCCCAACCCCAAAGCCCCAGTACATAATTGCATATACTTGTAAGTTCTTCTGGTCCTTCTATGTGAGCCACTGCCACAGCATGGCTACTAACAGAGGAGTGGTGTGGCCTCGTATCCAGCAACTGAACCCAGGCTGCCAAAGTGGAGTATGCCAAACTTTAACCACTAGGCCATCAGGGCTGTCTCCATAATCCTCTTTTTGGTACGGTCTAGATTTGGTGTCATCCAAATCGGACAGCCCCCTGGCTTCAGGTGCATGGGGTTTCATGCCATAACTTAATTTCTCCAGTCACTTACCTGACAAGAAAATTGACTTCCCAGCCATGACTTTGCTACATCTCTTCTCAGCTGGTGACTTTCTTCTTCATTTAGACTGCCATGAAATTTTTGTCTTAAAACTCCAGCATGGAGGAGAGGGAGAACCCCCAAACCTGGAGTTAGAAACCCTAGGTTCAAACTCTGGCTCTGCCACTTACTCATATTCTTGGGCCAGCAACTTCCTTTTATTTGTAAAATGGAAGGACCAGACTAGATCATCTCTTAAGGCCCCTTGCAGCACTAAGAATCTTTGAGAGGACATTTCAGGAAGTCAGCAAACACCTGAGGATTCATCATGTTGAGGAATTTTCCCAGTGCCACATGGCTAGGAGGTGGACACAGATGTAGTCACCATCTTTTACATCCTTGCTGCACGTAGCATCGTGGGCCTACCAGTAGAATGGGCATGACCTGGGAACTGACTAGGAATGCAGAATCCCAGGCCCCGGCCCAATTTAATAGAAGAACCCCAAAACCACCCTTGTCCACAAAAATGTTGACTCATTTCTGCTTTTTTTTTTTTTTGCACATTTCAGATTTGAATTTGGCAAAGAAACATCCCAAACCCTGAAGCTTGAAAATGCCTTGTATTTTGATCGAAAATACCTCTTTGCAAATTCCAAGACTTACTTCAATTTAGCTGTAGATGAGAAGGGGCTTTGGATTATCTACGCTTCAAGTGTGGATGGCTCGAGCATTCTTGTAGCACAACTGGACGAGAGGACATTCTCTGTGGTGCAACACATCAATACCACGTACCCCAAATCCAAGGCCGGCAACGCCTTCATCGCCCGGGGCATCCTCTATGTCACGGACACCAAAGATATGAGGATAACATTTGCCTTTGATTTGTTAGGAGGGAAGCAGATCAATGCAAACTTTGATTTAAGAACTTCTCAGTCTGTTCTTGCCATGTTATCGTACAATATGAGAGACCAGCATTTATATTCGTGGGAAGATGGCCATTTAATGCTTTATCCTGTGCAGTTTTTGTCAGCTACATAAAACCAGTGATGGGATGCATTCTTTTCCCTCCCCTCAGTAAATTTCAGACGTTCTCTGGCACCATTTGTATCCCAACAGAACACTTGTCTTTAAGGGTAGCCAGGCACTTAGCTGTCATAATCTCATGACGTGAATGTTTATATGGTCAGTGAATCCCCTTTAAATTCAGATTCCTTAGGGGGAAATAGCAACAGATTGGAAGTCAAAATGGCTGAGATTTGGTAATTCCTCCACAAACTATCTGAGCAAGATACCTCTTCCTCTTTGGGCCTTGTTTTCCCCACCGGTAATATGAAAAGACTGGGTAAGATGATTGGTAAGATTTCCTCTACCTGTAGGGAATTCTGTGGTTCTTGGCTGTTGCTGCTCGCACAACTTTTATATTTTTGGTTTTTAGCCACACGCTGAACAAATTTACCTCTGAGTTGAGAAGCCCAGTTGCTTGAGCAATGAATTCCTTAGTGCTGACTTAGAGTTGGTGCCTTAGGTCACTGAGGTACCATATTACCCAGAATTATACTACCTTTCTCTGCATCTGTACCTGCACCTCCCGCCAGTGCCAGAATGGCTGTTATCCTCAGCTCCTGACTGCTGCCCAAGGTTAGCAAAAGCCAGGCACACAGATGCATGCTCAGGTTTCCTAACGAAACAGAAACAGGCCCTTCTGTGTTCCTAGCCATTTCTGATCCCGTTGATACGCAGCTGTGAGTCATAAACATGGAATCCTCAGGTCACACTGGCTTCTTTAACCACAGCTATGGATCAGAGTACTAAAGATTGTGTGATGGGGCATTAATCTGGCAGTTTTCAGAAGAGAGCCACCATTTGTGGTTATTATCTAGAATAGGGATGAGCAAACTATGGCCCTCCGTCCAAAGCCAGCCCATTGCCTGTTTTTGTAAATAAAGTTTTACTGGAACACCGTCACATGCATTTGTTTATGTATTATAGTTTGTGCCAACTTTGGCTCTACAATGGCAGACCTGAATCATTGCAAGAAAGTTGAGAGATGGCCAGCAAAGCCTAAAACATTTACCCTCTGGCCCTTTCCAGCAAAAGTTTCCGACTGCTGATCTAGAATATAAAGTGAGCCTGATTCTTGCAAGGCCTTATTCACCAGAGCCTGCTTACTATGTTTTGTTCTGTTCCAGACTAAGAAGTGGTCATTTAGATGGTTTGAGTTTTTGGTAAAGGGGAGTGAGAACAGCATAAAATTAAGTGGCCCTCCCAAAAAGCAGTTCATGAACTGTTCTTTCCCTAATGTAGCTTTGAACGATGTGCTCTGGTCCCTTTGGATACCAGGAGAAAATCCAGTTGTTTAACTTGCTCCTAAATGCCCTTAAATACGTATATTTTTGCCAACTCAGTTCTTCAAACATCCTTCACCCGGGCACTGAGGTCCAAGCATGGCCACTGAGAGGAGAGAGGAATCTGGAAATTTCCTGGAGTCCTGCAGCCAGGAAGGGGACCTAAGGAAAAATCTCCTGAAAAGATTTTTCATCAATTTGCCTTCACTGAATTCACATGCACTGAAGGAAAGCTTCAAAAACGTTTCCACTGGGTCCAAATCCACCTCAGTGGCCCTTAGTCTTGATTTTATACCTTATTAATAGAAGCATTTTAAAACTTAGGGGATGTACAGATTTAAATATTTAAATCTTCCCACCCCCTGAAAATACCTAGGCAGCTATTAGGGACTTTTTTATTGTTATGTTCTCAAAATAATGGATATTTGAAAAATTTTTCCCCACTTTTTAATTAGATTGGTTGTGCCATGTCATCACAGCTTTTAAAAAATACTCTTTTTGGGTTGATGTTTTGTTATAAAGTAAAAGAGTTTCGTGTTCAAGATCAACATGCCTTATGAACGCTAGTCTTCTTTTAAAGTATTCGTATGTGTTGCTGTTTCTGGACACAGGGGACCTGGAATGAATATAATTCTATAGTGATAGTCATATTAGTAATGGTAATATGTACAATACTAATTATATATATATATAGTAGCAACCAAAAGAGGTTTTATTGAATTAGCATATATTCCTTTTAGAAAAAAAGTTTTAGCAACCCCAGTGTTGATAGCTGAGCTATCTCGGCTCCCTTAATTGTGGGTAAGGAAGCACGAACTCAAGACTAGAGAAGCTCATACTGGGATTTTTTTTTTTTTTTGCTATGGCAGAGTAGTATAAGGACAACCGAGTTTGATCAAGGCTTAATGGATCATTTTATAATGTGGTTGAAAGTTTGTCTTTACAGAGTGAAAAAAAATTAAGATGGTACTCATTCTTTCCTGCAAATAGTACTTTATAGAAAATACAAAAGGTTTGGGCTCACTGCTAAAACAGAGCGTTTTCAGTCAAGATATCATTTTGACAGTTTACGCTCTCACTTAGAACCAAAGTTGCTTCAAAGCATTTTCCAAATATCTGCACTGCTGATGTCAGAAGCAAACCAGAGAATTCTCTAATGCTTCTTCAGTCTAAGGCAGATAACTTCCCGCTGGAAAGTAAATAAAACCATCCCTCCCGGCCTCAAAGGTGGGCCGGGCCCTGTCTCAGGCTGATGGTGCGGCCTGTTGCAGCCGTGCAGGTGGCTATGGTCTCAGTGTATCACCAAGCACGGGTGTGATGACAGAAAGAGTTCTGGGGCGAAAGTTCTAAAATGAGGAGCTCTGATTGTCGGCACCTTCCTGGTCTGTGACCTTCGAGGTTACAGGGTGAAAAGTCAGATGAGACACCATGAGTCTTCAAGAGCCAGGTGGCCTTTTCCAACTGCACAGAGTACACTTGGGCTATGACTATGGGAGGTCCAGCCATGGGAGGGAGAAGTGCGTGATCCGGCTCTTGACTTTCCATCCAGCTGCCGGGACCTGGTGTATCATATCGTTAAAAGCCATCCTTTCCGATCTGTAACCGCAGATTCTGAACCCCAAGTGAATAATGGTGAATGTCTCTTTTTTGGTTGTAATTTATTTAACTTGAATCTAATTAGTCAATAAAATAATCATGGCTGAGCACCATCACATGTTGAAACAGGTGTATTGTTACTTTTACTTCTTGTTAATTTACATGCAACATTTAAAAGAAAAAAATAACCCCCAAGAACAATACTGTGGTAGAATTATACTGGTTGCTCCTCTGTTGGAACTTTCACAGTTTGCTAGCTCCTTCTGAATAGTGAAAAACCACTGACGTGGAGCATGTTTTCTCTATAGGAAAACGTGAAAAATGTAAGCCTCGTACCTAGAACTAGATATACACAGACGTAAACGCAATGAAGATCTGCAAATTCATTGGCATAGGCAAGGCAACTGCAAAGGATATAACATTTTGGGCTAAAAATAAAAAAGAACAAATTTTAAAAACTAGATTTGTGTGAATTTGAGTGAGGCTCTTCTTAGCCCCTCGGAGCCTCTGTTTCATCTGTAAAATGTGGATAATAGTATTACTTACCTTCTTTGATTTTTCCCTGCAGAATGAGAAATGCTTTGCAAATAATACAATTCTTGATAAAAAGTTGTTAGTTTTATAGTTCATCCCCTCAGGGAACCAGAGTGACTCTCTTTTTCTTCTGGCCTTATTTAAGGGCTGCAGAAATGGGTCAAGGACACAGTGTCAACAGTTTCTACCTGCTGGTCTGTTTGATTAGGGAATTAACACTTCACACCACCAAAAAATGGTCCCTTAGTTATACCAAAAATTTACAATAAAACTGCCCCCAATGATGAAAATAATGAAAAAACAGTTCAAGAACCTGCTGCCTTGACTGACAGAGCTTCTGTATAAGCTTCCCCAGAAGAGTCTTTCTGTTACTGGGCAGCACAGGCATGCACTGCTGATGACTTTTGTAATTAAAATATCACAAAGCAAAAAGAAAGAAAAGTCCACGAAGAAAACAGTTGACTTGACCTTTAATTGGATCATTCGGACCTGGCATGTAATTTTTAAGATATCTAATCTTATAGCCATTCACTGTAAGATTTAAAATAAGAGTAAACTTAATCTGTCTCACTACTTTTCTCTCCAAGCAATCTGCTGTGATCAGCCTCAAAAACTGAGCCAGTGGCCCAGTGGTTAAGTTCACGCATTCTACTTTGGTGGCCCAGGTTTTGCAGGTTTGGATCACAGGCGGAAACCTAGCACCACTCGTTAAGCCACAGTGTGGCGGCATCCCACATAAAATAGAGGAAGATAGGCACAGATGTTACCTCAGCGACAATCTTCCTCAAGCAAAAAGAGAAGCATTGGCAACAGATGTTAGCTCAGGGCCAATCTTCCTCACATAAAAAAAAAAAAACTGAGCTACTTAAGAAGTAGTGCTTAAACTACTTCTAAAAGACCTAAAAAACTAATTCTAAAATTGCTAGATTCTTGTGTCTAGCAATCTGGCCTTGTCAGTGTTCCAAACTCATTTGCCAAGAGGCCACATACACGCTCACGGAATTATAAAAGGTCAACACTGGGTGGGATCGTCACAGAACACCCAATCCAACCCTCTCATTTTAAAGTCCAGGAAAGTGAGGCCAGAGAAGATAACTCACCCAATGTCACAGCTTAAGTGCCAGAGTCCAGAAGCGACACTGTTTCCTGACTTTATGATCATGATTTCTGCCTCCCTCTGTCACTCCCCAAAGGAAGAATCTGGTCTTTGTAATTAGAAAGTGAAAATAATTAACTTTGAACACATTTTTAAAAGGCATTCCTTTTTAAAAAGCATTATCTAGAGGAATATGCCAAACCCAGCTTAGTGAGGCAGAGAACACTCCCCAACAAAAGTTCTCAACCCAGTGATGGCAGTTGTCACCTCCTGGGAGGTAGACACATGTGCCAAAGTCCAGCACCACTTGTTACTCTCAAAACTTCCACCACCACTGGACGACCCTTCCCGGACCAAAGTTTCGGAGACATCAGAGTAGCTACTCCTTGGTGCTCACCATCTATATGGCATAGTCTCTTCCAGGCCTTCTGTAGACATTAGTTCTCTTAATCACAGATGCTCAAGTGGAAAAGTCCTTAAATATCATCTGGTCCCTCTACTCAATGTTTTAATTCTCTCTACAAATATAGTGGACACTGTGGTGCGCTCACTACTTGGATTCCACTTCGGGAAAGACGTTTTGCTCCTGTGCTGGGAATGCTGTCAGCATATAGCCTTCAACTATCAGCCCCCTCAGGCGTTGCCTTGGCTGCAGAGACCCACTTCACCCAGGGCACGTCCCCTCAGCCAATAACTGATCGACGGGTGGGTATAAAGGCGTGGACGGCTCAGCCGAACTTGGAACATTCTAGTGTCGGAGTTCCCCAAGCTTCAGCCAAGTCTATCCCCTGGGCTGTACTGCAGACTCACTTCTTTCTGCCGTTCCTGCCTCCTTCTCCTCCATTCCACAGGTATTGAACCAAGGGCTCTTTTTAATGACATCCTGCTGGTTAAACTCCATCTCAGAGTTTGCTTCCTGGAGAACCCAAACTGTGGTAGAGTTGCCAGATAAAATACAGGATGCCCAGACAAACAAAAACATTTTTGTAGTATAAGTATATCCCAGTATATGGCATGGGATTGATAAGGATCAAGGCTGCCCCAGGGAGAAAAGCCCAAGGCGTCCTGCCCTACATACCTATCTATGTCTATATCGTCCTAGGACGTCCTGACCTGAGCTGACCTGATTCATACCCAAAGTTATAGGATCACCTGATAACCAGACCCCACCTGCACTGATATCATTTTAACGACTTTTTTACATGATCTTTCCTTTGTCTTGTAAAGAGATAACTCACATACCTATGCTTTATAAATTTAGCCCTACCCTCAAGCCATGTTTGCAGGTCTTCACTGCCCATGGGTCCTGTCCCCATGTCCTATTCCATGCTATTCTCTGAATAAAGGAGCACTACTACCAGACCTTCAGAGTCCAAGAAATCTTTCTTTTGACT